CTTGCTCTAATGAAGTGGTAGAATAACCAGGAAACCATACTGTTAATCCCTGCAATGGTTTGACAGAAATATTTATTTAACAATTCATGGTGGCATTAATCATTTATTATTTCTGCTATGATTTATTCATACACTATTATGCTTCTTTGTTTCTAGGTCTTTGGTTTTTACTGTGTGCATTTGCATTCTTTAATAAATTTAGAATGAAAATGCCTCAGAATAAAATTTATGAATATACATGTGATAGCAGTACAGTTCTCTCAGAGTCTTGAAACTACAGTTAGAATAGTAGAATCATAGAATGATAGAATGGTGTGGGTTGGAAGAGACCTTAAAGATTATCTCATTCCAATCTCCCTGCCATGGACAGGGCTACCTTGCACTACTCCAGGTTGCTCAGGTCCCATCCAGCCTGGCCTTGAATACTCACAGGGATGAGACATCCTCAGCTTTTCTGAGCAGCCTATTCCTGTGACTCACCACCCTCACAGTAAAGAGTATTTCCTAACATCTAATCTAAACCTGTATTCTGTCACTTTAAAACCATCCCCCCTTCTCCTCTTGCAAAAAGGTCTCTCTCTGACTTCCTTGTAGGCCCTCTTTAGATATGGGAAGGTGCTGTAAGTTCTCCTTATGGTCTTCACTTGTCCAGCTGAAGAACCCTAAATCAGTCTGTCTTCATAAAAGATGTGCTCCAGCCCCCTCCTCATCTTTGTGGCCTCCTCTGGACTTACTCCAACAGGATCACGCCCCATCTCATTCAGGGAGCCCCACAGCTGGATGCAGCACTCCAGATGGGGTCTCATGACAGCAGAGTAGAGGGGAAAAATCACCTCTCTCGACCTGCTAGTCACACTTCTTTTGGTGCAGGAGAAGAGGACAAATATTTGTGTGAATTAATTTTAAAAAATAAAAATAATCAACTAAACTTAGAGAAGTAAGAATTACGGGAGCCCATTGCTGCTGCAAAGCAGCTTTTATAAAAGTTTTCTGCTCAGTTTTCTTTAGGATACTTTCAGTTGTAAATGTTATTCTCTTTACTTGACAGAAATTAGAGAGAGTTAACAACAGCTTGCCTAATATCACAGAGAAACTCATTAACAGACACCAGAGTAAACTTCCCAGGTCATCCAACATCTCGTATAACATTTTGCCAACATATTCTATTTTATAAATGAACCTGTACAGGGAAGAAGATGGATCAAATACTGTTTCTGCATGTGATGCTGCAGAGCATACAGCAAGAGTCCCCTACACAATCCAGTTACCCAATGAAGCATATGGCTAATGTACTGCAAAGCACATCAGCCCAATTTGGCTCTTTGAAACTTCATCAAAAAACACTATACAAAACACGATCTTTTAAACACAACACAAGGTGGAAATTATACCTGGTACCAGGCAGGTTTTCTCCAGGGAAAAGATGATACAACTGTCCCTAAAAAGATTACACCATGAACAGTATAACCCAGTGTAAAATGATAAGGCTTACTGGATTTTTTTTTTTAAGTAAATGTCACCTGATAGTCCCCCTGGTACACCTGTGGTACATACACTTCCTTTCTCCTCTTGCTTAACAGAACAGCAGCCAACAATAAATTTTCATCAGCGTAAGATATATTTTCTTTCAATTTCAGTGAACTACTATTATCTTTGAGGAACTGAAAGCTACCAAACAGTTCAGAAAGAAAAATCTAAAACTGCAATAATTTATGACAGTTACTTTGATCTCACTCCATATTTTTCAGGGTATCTGATTGCAGCCCTTCTATAATAAATGCCACCTTGAACTTGTGATCTTAAGAAGTGAGTGCATGAACCTAAAATTTGTAGAAGGTATTCACCAGCCCTGTCTTTGTGAAACACCTGAAGAAAGATTCACAGAATCAAAAATGAGTTTGAATGAAGTCTTCTAACTTGCAGCAGTGCTGCTTCAACAGTGAATGAGATAAACAGGAACACAGAAATTTTGAATTTATATACAAGTTCTTTACTCAATGGCAAAATATAGTAAAATTTATTAACCTTGAAATGTTCATATTTTAAATAGATTAAATCTTATCACCTAATACTGCTTGTAAAGCATACCAGTTATAAATAGATTCCTGCTTTCCCTAGGAAAGCCAGAGTGAGGTAGTATTTAATCAATTTTGAAAACTCATAATTTTTCTTAAGAGAAACCAATTGCAGCTGGTATGACTTTCTGCTTAGCATCATAGTCTTTTTAAGTAAGATGCTAGGAAGCTTGGCTTTTTCATCATGTCTTGTCCCAAGGTTTAAAGATGTTTTAACACTGCAATACTTCAGTCTTGTCCTAATCACATTTCTTACTCTTAAAAATATTTCTTTCCCTAAGCTACCTCTTTTACAATTCAAAGTATGAGTTTAACTGTCCAGAGGACATAAGTTAATACATTTTCTTTTTACTAACAGTGAATTTGATGACATCTATTTTAAGTAAGTGGAAATATTAAAGGTCTTCTGAGTGAATTTCTAAGTGGACTGAAGTCCTCCATCTAGCCATGATGGCCAAAATTGGCCAACGTCAGTACCCAGGCTTCACAAGGATGTTACATAACAGGAAAAAGGAGAAATTCATCTCCTATTCAATTAGTCTGTATCGAAACTGCCAACATAAGACTAAATATTGTGCTTTGTCTTTTTTGTGTGTGCAACTGTAATTTTTTTTATTTGAGAAATGAAGTCACATCTTTCTCAAGATACAACAAACAAAATAGTTGTATGAGTTATACTTCTTATTGTATGGGAGTAAGCAATGTAGAAATGTAAAGTTCTGTATAACATTATGAATATGAAAGTCACAACCATCAGTTCTGCCTCTCCTATGTTGTGTGTCTAAGAAACTTTCACCAAAAGAAGCTGGATGCATTTCTGCTATGATCACTTTTATACTTCTGTTCCCTCATTTTGCCCAATTCTTTGGGTTTTTAAACTCCAGTTTTGTCTGACTCAGTTTAAACCAATCTAGGAATAAATAGAACTAAAATTAGGAGTCAGATTTCAGGGGAATTAGTCCAATTTACATTATGCGTTGCTCTGAAATGAAGCACAGTGTATCTGGAATTTTCAAGCAACAGAAAGAAAGGTGAAGTAAGCTTTATTGTCCTTGTTGCTTAATCCATTTTCTTCATTGTCTGAAAATCCAGTAGGAGAACAATGATATAAGTTTTCTAAACAGCAGTTCACTTGGCACATATACTCACTGTTCTCAAATACTAAGAAAACATTCTTGTCAACTCATCAGGTGGAGACTAAAAATATTAAGACTGCTTAAGAGACTAAGCAATGCTTCATCTTGTTGTCAGTTAATGTGTTTAATGCATAAAAAATAGCCAGCACCATTAGTTAAGTGCAAGTGTTAGTTACAACACAAAAAATTGATGAACAGTCTCTACCAGCAGCTCAGCACAGTGCTTAGTGGCTGCTTCAAGCTAGCACAATTCTTTTGGGTGACTTAATCACTTCTTTCTTCAAGTTCAAAGAAGAGCGGTCATTAACCCTCATGTTCTCACAACATTTTCAAAGTAGAATTCGACTGAATAAGATTAGTGCCACTTTGATTACTAAGGATAGGATCTAAGACTTATACAACACTTTCTGTCAGAAATTTAAACAGAAAAGTGTGTGCTGACCCTTAGAATTTTATAAGATTATGTTTGAGGAGCATGGATTCCCTCAGCCTTGAGCAAGATGAAATCTCAAGTTCCAAAATACTAACTGCAAAACAAAAGCAAATAAAAACAGACGATATCACTAAAAAAAAATATATATCCCCTACCAATCATAATTTCATTTGAATAGAATTATCAATTTTAATAGCTTTTGAAATAACTTTTTTTTTAACAGAATTGTTTTTAAATGGCAGGAGAATAAGGAATAAGCAGAAGTAAGTGGTTGAAAAAGGGTATAAGATTGCATGAACATGAATATTGCCCAAATGAGTAATAACTGAAGGTTGTCACCATCTGATGTTTGTTCACCAGTCTGTGTAAAATGAAGTGGTGTTCTGAGTCCCAGAGGAATTTGGAGATCATATGCAGCACAGAAGGCAATAATTAGCATCATTGTTGACAATCCCAAACACTGAATAGAGACAAAATATAATTTAACTTTTTATCCTTAAAGGTTTAGTTCCTTCATGTCAGAGTTCAGTCAGACTGAAAGAGCAGCCAAAGGAAATATTTTTTATCTGATGCTCACACAATGCTTGCTCTTTGCAACAAAGCAAACATTTCAGCTTCCAGAGCCAGTAAATTAAGCAATGCTTACAAACATAATCCTTCCAAATAAAATTGAAATCCAACTTAGATAACACCAGCAGATAACAAATCCGTACTTTTAAAGGAAAAATTAGCTTTAGGCATGACAAAAGGAGAACTGGAGCAAAAGGCAATACTCCTCTGGTATCCTTTGTCACAGCTTTAGATGAACTAGAACTATAGCCTCAGTGAAATTTGTGATGATGGTTTTTCACATCACGAAACTCAAAGTGTAGATATCTGTCAAGGACACTAACAGAGCTTTCTCTAACATTTTTTTTTCTATTTTTGGTTGCCTACACTTTCTAATGAGAGTAGGGAATTTGTAGGGAATGTAAGGCAATGATAAAAGATTTGCTTTGTGAGAAAAACGCTGCAAGAAAAGTCATTTACTAGCCATGAGTAGGCTGGCAAGGTTATCACGTGGTGGATAAATGAATTTGATGACATGCTTAATAATGCAGATTTTATGGATATAAGATATGCCTCTTAATGTTTGCTACAGGGGACAAGAATCAACCTACTCTGCAAAATTGTCAATGAATTTATTGGACCTGCAGACACCATGAATGTCACAGAAATTTAGTTTTCCAAAACACTAAGCAATTGAAGCTTAATCCTCAAAACTATAATGAAGGACTTTTGTCCTGTATTTGCTAAGTTTACTGGAAGTTGGAGTAGATACACAGTCTGATTATTGATGTATATTTCTTATTCTAGGTTCTATCCTTAGGGGCTGATGTTCTACCAGAATATAAACTCCAGACACCTCGCATCAACAAGTTTACTATATTGCACTATAGTCCTTTCAAAGCTGTCTGGGACTGGCTCATTTTGCTGCTGGTCATATACACTGCCATATTCACCCCTTACTCTGCTGCCTTCCTTCTGAATGACACTGAGGATCGCAAGAGGAGAGAGTGTGGATATTCCTGCAGCCCACTGAATGTTGTAGATTTAATTGTGGATATTATGTTTATCATTGACATTCTAATAAACTTCAGAACAACATATGTAAACCAGAATGAAGAAGTGGTAAGTGATCCAGCAAAAATAGCAATTCACTACTTCAAAGGCTGGTTCCTAATTGACATGGTTGCTGCAATACCTTTTGACCTGCTGATTTTTGGCTCTGGCTCTGAAGAGGTAAGCTTAAATGAATAAGAAATCTTAAATCTTAATCTATTACTTCACTATGGTATTCTGTGTATCCTGGAGTATTTGTTGCTTGTCATTTAATAGGCTGCTTAGTATATCCATCCCATCTTTTAAAGTTAAACTAAAATTAAATCCTCCTTTGTAGAATAATGTACAATATTAGCTTTCATTGACAAGAGAAAACATTGAATGATTCAGCTAGCATTTTTCAGTTATACCATATTTGATACTGTCTTTAGAAATAATAAATATATTGTGTATGAAGGACGTGGTCAAATGGTTTTATATAAGAACTGCTTTGATTTGTCGCTTACTTTTTAAAAACTGACCATGATGCATCTAAGTGCTGTGTTTGCATTGCATCATTAAAATAATTTTTCTCTGTTCAAAATGTTTAGATCAGATGTTTACTTAGCAGAAAACAGATTAGTTGTAGCATAAACTATACTAGTTATCAAAGACATTTGGCTGTTGTCAATTTTATCAAGAATATGGAATATCAAAAGAAGGTAAAATATTACCTTGACGTGATCTATCTACACAATTGAGTAAAAAAACTGTTCAATATATGCATCCAAAACTGGCCCAAAGGTAAAAAATATATGCTATTTTCTGGATTCCTGACCCAGTCCTTCCAATCGATTTTGTTTAATTCAAGAAGGGATAAAATCATAATATTTTTTCTGAAAATTAGAGAATTGGGTCTGAATTTTCTGTGATGCACAGAATGTAGAATTTTTCTGTTAAAAGCAGCAAACCAAGCAAAAGGTAAATGAGGATTCTAGAAAAACATGAGATAAAACCATGCGCTAAAATTAAATTTTATTAAGGAAAGTAATAAGAAGAGACAGAGTAATATAAAGGACAGAGGGAACATATTAATAGTTCTCTTACCAGAAGAGAACTTTTTTTTTCAGAAAGTGACTAAAAAGCCCGGAGATTTAAGAGAAAATTTGATCACCTTTTGCATTCATTATCTGTGGCAGCTGTCCATCTTTCTGCAGATAACTTTTTCTGTGGTTTTGAGAGCACAGACACGTGAAAGACAAACATTTTCATAACGGCATTACCTCTAACTCAAACTACAACATTCCCCTTCAGGCATGGCCTTCATCCCTTCCTGATCATTGATCACTTGTCATTTTCACTTGTCACTGAAAAATTATTTTCAGTGATTAGAAGTGTGGAACATAAAGGATTTTAACAGGGATCAATTCCAAAGTTCATTGGAGGAGTGCCCCTGAACATCATTCTTCCACACCTCCCCTGTTATAGATGTTCTTAAGAGTAAAGTGCCAGATGCTAAAGTCATGCTAAAGGGACAATTTTAAAATAATATAACATTACAGATTACAGTAACAAACAAGTAAATTCTTGCAGATGAGTAGACAAATATAAAAATGTGGAAGTTGAAACAGAAATTATTGGACCATGTAATGACTTTTTCACTGTTGCAGATATAAGTAAATTGATTCTTTATTCCCTCAAAATCTAGTAATTGACCAGTTTCTCTACCTGGAAAAGCTGTTTTGTTTGTCTAAGCAGCAATGAAGCTGTATAGATTATGTTCCATTCACCATGCCATCATAGCTTCTCTCTCTCATTCATGGTATTGAATATGTCAATCACTTTTCTAAGCTGCTACTTACTGCAGTTTTTCTTCCTACATTGCTAACTATAATATTTCACCAATGATCCCTTTCTCATAGTTTAGCAAGAAAAGGCAAATATAAAACTGACAGAATGGAGCATTTTTCATTTAATAGATTTTTTCAGTCATAAGGGTTATCTTTTTTGTGAAATAGCTCTTTTTTGTTATCTAGAGATTCTTCAAAGAAGATCCCCAATGAAAAATTGTATTGAATAGTCTTTTTATTAAACAACATAAGCTCTAAAGAGAGCTCTATGTGTGCTCATGCAGCTTTCAAATACCTTTATATCAAATGGAGTCTTGAAAGGGCAGGAGATAATAATCCAAATACCACATACGGCACTATCCAAATGCTTCTATTTAAGCTGTACTTTTTCAGCCATAAGAAAGCAACAGAGTTAGACTGTTAACTTTCCAATTTCTAAAACAGGGGAATAATGTGATTTTAATTTTTTTTTTTCTGCTCAATGAGACTCAAAATGATGATGGTTTGTAGTAAATAATTCTCTCTTAATTGTGTATGTATTGTAAAAGTTAGGTGGCTTCCCTTATACTTGGGAAGATAAAAATAACGAGTAGATGGAAAGAAGAGAAAAGATTTTGATGTGATTATCCAACTACTCTTGAACTATAGTCCAGCGATAGGTCTGATGAAAATAGAGAAGCAACAACCCGGAGAAGAGAGTAGCATCTATCAGATTGCTATTTGCAGACATTAATTGCTTGCACCAGGTGGGGTAAGGTAACTGATAGAGTTGGATGCCTTCTTGGATGTTGTGCTGATCAAAGTATTCCAGCATACCAACAAAATTACATTACATGAGCTGTAGTTCTGAAGCCAAGAACTTCTGTCCCTAGCCAAGTGACACATGGGAGCTCTACTGTTACTATGTCAAGGCTACATCTAGGCTGAGAAGCAGACAGCATGTAAGGCACATCAAAACTTGTGGACCATGCTTTTCACCTCTGTGGCCAGCTCTATTTTAGTGTTAAAACCTCTCCACTGTGTTAAAGAAAATTAAAACTCAGAATGAGTTTCTTGATGCTTTAAGCATATCTAGTCTCATTCATGCTGATTTACCCCTGAAGAGATGAAGTTTTCTTGTGTTATATACCTTCCACATACTCCAGAGCTCAAACTGATGTATCCAAGTATAGGATTGACACTGAGGATGAATAATATTAGCAAGTTTTATCTTAAGAATGTGGTGGAACAGTGTTGACATATTCTAGATTCACAATCTACCATCTGATCTATTTAAGGGGCACTGTAAGAATATGCAGGGTCTCTTGCATGACGTAGAGATATGACCACATCTGTAATAGAATGTTTCTAATACCCCACTAAAAACAAATCTTAGCTTTTCTTAAGGGATCATATATATAGAAGCCTGATCTACCTTACCAAAAAAACCCCTAATCACAATATTCACATGCTTCTGAATCTCTGCCTAGGCATAGCATTTTGAAGGGTGTAGTCTTTCAGACTATTAAGGTCACTAACCTTCTTTATGTGGTAATGAGAAATTCACCCCGAAGTTATTATTTGGGGTGTTGAATTGAACTGAGTGTTCCCGTACATTGTCCTCTTGCTCCTTTACTGAGAAAATATGAACTATTTATTGAGTTGTCCACTGAGAAATGCAGCCAAGAAAGACTCTTCTTTTGTTCCAAGAGCTTTGAAGTTTTACTCAGAAACATGGTAAATTCAAGGATTTAATAAAACATAAAAACTAGTGTAGCACCTGTTGCAAGAAAGATTTAATATGATGCATACTATTGCCTGAGTGGTTTGTGAGGCTTGGAAAGTTTTTCCTGTTAAATGTAATGTAATATACATGCATGTTAATAAAAAAAAACAAACAAAACAAAAACAAAACAAAACAAAAACAAAAATCTTAGAAATGTGTGCACTCTTGGCATTTACTGAATACTTTAATATATGTTCAGACTTAATGCAAGGAAAAAAGGCAGCTGAGGGGTTTTTTTTAATCCAGTCATTCCTCTTTCCAATGCTGTCCATTCCATCTACAAGAAGTTAACAAGTTTGAAAACTATTTACTAATTGAAATTTGAAAACTTGTATTAATAACTTCTAGATTCCTTTAAAAAGATCAGAACCTCAAAGAGGCTGCAATGTATAATAGAAGGCTGCACTAAAATCTTGAAATACATTCCTGCTTAAAACTTCTCCAATTTATTTTTTTAATGGTGTAGTACTTTTATTACTGGGCCCTGTCACTATGCCTGTAAAATGCAAAAAGCTTAATTTGGAGTAACTTTGCCATGGTGTTCTGCTCACAGTGCTTCAGCTTCACTCACCTGGCAGTACAATCAGGAGGAGTCTTGTAGATACCCTCTTTGGGACACTTCTGTCCTATTACTTCTTTTTTCTAGAATAAGTGTGCCAGAGCATTTCAAGGAGTTTCTAAGTTAGGAGTAAACACAATCATACAGCCTTATTCAAAAATACTTATTACCTGTATGGACAGTCGTATAATTATGAGTAGTACCAATAACTTATGGACCTTATCATCTTAAAGAAATCATTTATATATTGGATCATTAAATCCATTATGGTTGACTGAAGAGCCCAGATCAAGTAAAATATTCAACATGAAAGAGTATTTAGCACTTAATGACAACTTCAATGTGCCTTGATTTTAAACATACATTTTTTCTTTTCTTCCCTGGTTTTATGATGAAATTGATAGTTTAAAGAAAAAATTAAGATTACATTGAAATGTAATGTAATGTTCTACTTTTTGTGTTGATTGCCCAAAACAATGGAATTTGTAGTGGTTTATTCATGCTTACTAGTCATGAGAATACATTTTCTAACAGAGAAAATTAATTTCTACCTTATTTTTGCAGACAACTACATTAATAGGCCTTCTGAAGACAGCTAGACTGCTGCGTTTGGTGAGGGTAGCACGGAAATTGGACAGATACTCCGAATACGGTGCTGCAGTTCTGATGCTCCTCATGTGCATATTTGCACTAATTGCACACTGGCTTGCTTGCATTTGGTATGCCATTGGAAATGTAGAAAGACCTTATTTGGCTCACAAGATTGGCTGGTTGGATTCTTTAGGAGAACAATTAGGAAAGCATTACAATAAGAGTGATGCAAGCTCTGGACCATCTATCAAGGACAAATATGTTACAGCACTTTATTTTACCTTCAGCAGTCTGACAAGTGTAGGATTTGGAAATGTGTCTCCTAACACCAACTCAGAGAAAATCTTTTCCATCTGTGTCATGTTGATTGGCTGTAAGTAATTTTATCGTGGACTTTAATCTTTTTTTTCCTCTCTGTGTTTGAGCAAATGCCTTAAAATTCTAAATGAATAAGATTATAAGCATGCAGCCGGAAGGGCAGATTCGTAGGGAAAGGCATGTTGTATGCAAAAATATGTTGTGACTCATTCAGTATCAGGAAGTAATCTAGTTGCTTGACTACTCAAAATCTGCTATCCAAACTGTCAGAATATTTATGTTGTATATCAGTGTCTGTAAACAAATCCTGTATAAGGAAAGAAGGTGAGTTTAGAGTGGATTTAGGAAATGACAGCCCATCATATTTGGATAATCATCATTATACTTTATTTTTCTATTTAAAACTGAAGCTATAAATGTATGCATATCGTTTTAACTCTTCCTATTGTTCTTTTGCTTAGCCGTACTCATCTGCAAAGCCCAATGATATGACTTAAGTAAGTTTTGTTTCTCGTTAATCCAGCATTAATGTACGCTAGCATTTTTGGAAACGTATCTGCAATAATCCAAAGACTCTACTCGGGGACTGCACGCTATCACATGCAGATGCTGCGTGTCAAGGAGTTCATACGCTTTCATCAGATCCCAAACCCTCTGCGGCAGCGACTGGAGGAATACTTCCAGCATGCGTGGACATACACCAATGGCATTGACATGAACATGGTATGTTCTGCTTTTCAGGCAGAGGTGCTGAGGAATAGATAAATGCATGAGGAATTAGAAAAATAATGTAAGTCTTTAGTATTATAAGCTGTAAAAGTACAAGCTTAAAAAGGTGGATATATATGTATCTCAGTTATTGACAATAAGCCGCAACATGTTTGACGTACAAATGTTTCACTGCCTAGGTTACTGCAAGGTATATCAGAAATCTGAATTCTCACGTGTATAGGAAAGCTTGAGAACTGCAGGTGACTTCTGTAAGCTTAAATAGAGAAAAAAAGTAATAAGTTTCTTATTTCAGACATAGCTGTTCCAGAATTTTGTTTGTTCTTTGTCCTGATTTTCCATTTCCAGTATCAAACAAGAGTACCTGTATTGATATTCACAGATTTACTGTTCTATAAAACCTGTGAAGATCAATTCTTTTTCAAAATCCTTCCATGTAATCTAGAACAGATATATTGGGAATGGGTTGAAGAGAAGAGCAGGCAGGTTAGCTGCTCTTTGCAAAGAGAAATATTTGAGTCCCCTGGTAGTCTGAAAAGTAACTTGCTTGCATTCACAACCACATAATTCTGTACTGAAAACCACCACAGTACTACTAACCATTTAGCCATCCACAGAAACTCATTTCTAGGAACTGACAAGGAATAACACGCATATTTTCTGGTTTTGATAAAAAAGCCCCTGTAATCTCTCCTTCTATAAATACATGGCTAGCTAAAAATTAGTAACAATCTGCTAGTGAGCAAAAGAAAGCATCTATGTCTTATTTTCCGGGGCTAGAAACATTTTTTCTGAAAAGTGAACGTCATTTTGAAGACACTGAGGGCACTGTGCATCTTAAGGACCTGTGAATCTGTGTCTCTGTAGGGATGCTTCCCAGAGCTATTCAGAGCTAGAGATTAGAAACTTTATAGAGCTCTCCAGAAAGCTGTCAAGAACAAGAAAACCTGTACACTTTTGTAATAATTTAACTAGAAATCAACTTCCAAAAATTTTACATACATTCAAGCAGCTTTCATGTGGTATCAATACATACATTTCTGAATGACTGTCAGAGTACTACATTTTTATGCAGTAAACAGAAGCAATGGTTTTGATTAAAATCTATTATAAAGGTGAATCAGTGACAGTTTGACTTTATGGTTACCATTAAGTAAAGCAGATCTTAAAAATACAATAGAAAATTAATATATTTGGCTTCACCTGCCACTTCCATGTGTCCCCTCCAGAAGGATAATATGTCCAGGGCAGGACAAGGACAATTGTATAAACCTCTGCTGGGGATTACTGCAGTGGAAGGCAACATCAGTAGCTTCATCCTGTGTGGCACTGAATAGCCCTAATTCCTTCGGATGGCAATGGAATTGTAGGGTACTCAGCACTTTGCAGGATCAGGCCCTTAAGCTGCAGGTGTGTTCAACCTAAGCCTAAAGTACCTCACTGAATTATTTCTGAAGATATTACAAAATCATATATGCCTTAACTAATTCATTACCACTAATGGATGTACTAAAAACACCTGGTTCACATGAAATAGTAACTATAACTGGATGTTGTCACATGAAAAGTTGCATAATTTGGAAACGGGTGTATGGAAATTAGTCTTGGACTTGTCATTGATGTGAAATAACAATTAAATGGATTAAATAGCCCGTATTCTGCAATATGATTGTGAGGCAACATGGAGGATTTATTTAAATAAACTCTGGAAAAACCCTCAATTTTAGTATCTTGTTTTGTTGTATTTTATTCCTTATTCTGTTCACAGTTCTACCCCTCAAGTTTTATGTCAATCACTTTATTCCCTTTAAGAGTTTGAATGTATTACACTTAGTGCAAGGATAATATAAGAATTGTGTGATTTACATTGTACTTATGAAAGATTTATCTCTTTCCTGTCTGCTTCACATCTAAATACATGGAATTACACCACCCACTGGTAAGAGCAGGAGGTATTTATATCAAATTTAATTGCAGTATAAAGTGTGGAGAATATCCATGTTATCTGTTGGGTTTAGAGCTTGTTCAATGCTTTCTAATTTTAATTGTAATTTTTTGCATGATGAAGGGGTAGATACCAAAGGGAAATAATCCAAGTAGAATCAGATGTGGGGCAAAATGGTTACTAAAAATTAGACATTAAAAAATACTAATCTAACAACGTTTATTAATCACTGTTTTACCCCACAACTCAAGTCATGCTTCTCTGTCCAAAAAAGGTCATGTGCATATTGGTTTGCATTAGATAGTTGCTCTGTAGGAATGTCACTGACAAAGATGTCATGCTGCTGTTCATTCTGCATTTTCCTTTGTGTGAATGCTCTTGGTTTAAACCATATATGCATGTTAACACACGCACCAATGAAGTTTTCTTGGCTATTAGCCATATGCATCTGAGTTGGACTTGCATGTGTTTTTTTACTTAATTTTGCATGAAATATTTGCATTTACAGAACAAAGGACAAATATCGTCCTCAGACAAATGTGTTTGACTCCTGCCCATGTTTACTTGGAGTTTTTTGCGAATTCTGAAGGCAGAATTTCATCCAATATACTTTTTTTTCTTCATTTCATGATGGAAAGCTGAAAAAAAAAATCAAAGATGTAGTCCTTTTTGTCCTTTGAAATATGAAATACATAATAATTTACATTATATATATATATGTACATACAACATATACACACACATACTCATATATATATATATATAAATAACATGGAGAATATATTTCAAAAGATGCTTTAAATTATCCTCAGTAATATATTTAAGAATCCAGGTAAAGTGGAAAATAAAACGTTAAAAAAAGAGATTAAACAGAAACCCTTTTAAAGTCAGGAGTAGCAGTGCACTAAGACAAAACTTGATTTTCTAAACAAAATTCTACACCTTAGATTGTAAACCAGAAGATAATACTTTATGTTTATTTGAAATGGTTAAACTTAAAATTAGCTTAAAAGATCTGCAAGTGAAATATGCTGAGACCTTGTTTATTTGTTCATTTGCTCCCTTCTGCTCCATTTCTACATATTTTTGATTATATTCAATTACATAATGCGTTTTGGTTAAAAACAGTTCCACATAATTATGCGTGGAGTGGATAAACAGGATTTGGGATTTATTTTAATCTGGATAAAAATCTTGAGTCTATAGAATAAGCATAATTTAAATTATGTCCCTGTGATATATACTGGAAAAATAAAATTACAAAAAAAAATGTTTACATTGCATATTGTTTCATGAAAGATGTCACCAGTCCCAAAAATTCCAATTCTTGTAATATTTTTAACTATCCTGTTCTGTTGTTCCTAAATTCTTTTTGCCTTCTTTTTCCTCTTTCATTCCTATGTTATCAGTCCAGCACTGATAATAGCATGCCTATGATGCTTACCCTAAAAAAATTAGTTATTTAATGTTTGAGATATTTTTTTAAGTTATGCATGTATTTTTTACAATCCTGACTCACCCTTTCTTTCCATGGATCTTCTGTGCATCTGAATAGCTTTATTGGTTATTTTACATTTGAAAAGAGTTTGAAGAAGTAACTAAGTAGGACCAGTTGAAAAGTGTTTAGCCCAATGTAAACATTAATTTAAATTTTCGGTGTGAGACAGATGTCTTCTTGTTTTGGGTTTTGTCCAATAGCACGAAAGGGGAGAGCAAGTCAGAATTTTTATAAATGAATGTATGATTTCTCCTGCGAGCATCCAAGCAAATGGTTAATTTTACTGTCGTGATATCTGTCTTGGCCACTGTGATCATGCAAGTGCAGTAGAGCACACACCTATCTTGAACCAGCAATTCTATAGTAGCAAATAAAGGGCAGGTTCACTATTGCCTTGAACAGCCTTCTTTTATAAGAAATTGGCCACTGATACGTGGTTGATATCAGTACATTTTTATTCTTGCTTTTCCTTCCACTGTGATCACTTCTTACAACAAAATCAGTTTTATCAACAGAGCCAATGCCACTAATATATTTGAAGCAGAGGACTAGAGAAGTAAATTAAAATTTGAAAAACAGCAAGGAGGAATTCTTAGTACTATCAAAAGGCTAATGTGAATTAGTTGTTTGGAACAAAACCTAGCAGTGAGTTCTTAAACTAAGGCAATATGTAGTGTTGGAACTTGGTACTGCTGTTCGCCTATATGTCAGAACAGAAATCATGAGATATCAACCAGCCAGGATTAGCTGGATTATGATTAGCCATAAACCTGTTCTTAGGTTTTCTAAAAAAGACAACTTAAAAAATGTGATTGCCTACATTGAATTGAGTTACAGAAAATAAGACCTCATAGAAAAAAAATATTTTCAAGAATGTTCATCTATTTCTAAATGATCCTTTATCAGTTTCTCAGTGCATTGTACTTTGCGGTCTAAAATCTCAAAAACAAAAGCAATTAATTTTTCAGCTATCATATTTTTTGAAGTATACATATCTGGTCAATCTTCAACTTCTACAGACTTAAAACTTTTCTCTTGGTAAGGCAGTCAACAGTTGAAGAAACTGAAATAATTTTCCATCTTCCTTGTTCAGCAATGTATCATATCTCAGAGATCCACTTTTCAGATGTACTCAGAAGCTGTAATAAGACTGTAGAAGAATGGTCCACTGCAGCTTCACTAATTTCTGCATAAAGATGTCTCACATCTGTGTTGTGGCAATGACTGAAAACAAAAGATCTTATTCTTGATAAGGTTGTCAGGCTTCAATCTCACTGGAAGGTGAATTAGCTCATTATCACACACTGCTTCTCTTCTCTCCCAGCTGTTAAAAGGAAACATACTGAACATTAAAAAAAAAGAAGAGGATTTTTCAGAAATATTCTTTCTTCTATGTGGAAGCCAAGAGTTTCTGAGTTTCTGGAGGAGAATTATTGCCACCTGTGACCTTGTTCTTTTTTTTCTAAATGCTGAAAGTCCTTGGAAATGTTTCAATCTTCTACTTATAAAAATACTATATAAAAATACTACTTATAAAAATAATTAATTTCTATAGTTAATTATCAAAGGAATATTGAATAGTAAATTCTAAATTCTTTCTAGAAATAAAATTGCTGAATTACAGAAATGTTTAGTCTAGATGATGTTATGAAATTACAAGAGTCAAACGTTTGTGACAGAACTAAATCCCACACTATTCTCCAACAGCAGGAACAGCTACTGGGGGACAGAGATCCTGATTCAAAATCTAAGCAGCACAATTTCTGCAGCTAAAGTCTCAGGTTAGCCTTAAAATTAGGTGGCTGGCAGAAAGATGAAAATTAAATGCATAGGTTATTTCACCAAATATATTAATTGATATTAATTAATTTCAGTCATTCTTTCTAAACAAAGACAAAAGGTCGATTTTTAATATGAAGTTCAAATTTCATTATTCAAATATTTTGAAAACTTTATTCAGCATTTAGTGATGTCAATGTCAACATAGCCTGAGATCTCTCTTATGCAGGTGAGAACCAAATAGATATTAAGTGTGTGTGGTCATGACACAAAGTGAATTTACTGCTGCCTCTTTTTACCTTCAGCTGCTCAAATTTTGTGCTGTGTTAATTTTTTGTATGAATCAGGTTCTCAAACCATTTCACAAGGAGAAATCATGACAAAGCAGGAATAAACAGATAAAGTGGAGAAGGACTAGAATCCTCTTTCAGTTTATGCCATCTTAAATTCTCAGATGAACTTGGGAGTTTTCCCTCTATATGCTGGGAACAAGTTTTCCCTCTATATGCTCATAAACAAGTCTGACTGATTCTAGGGCAAGAAAGCCTTAGTCACTAGTTCCAACATACCCCAAACACAGCACAACACGCAAGAGCCCTCTTGTGCTCTCTTCAACTGCTGCTTGGTATTTAATGAACCCATCTTACATTTCAGCAGAGAAAATGTGTGACAGAAGATTACATACAGAATTAAAGGAGTATCTTTGTAAGGCTGCAAGCACTGGAGGATATCTCATACTAGGAAAGGCTGAGAGACCTGGGACTGCTCAGCCAGATGGGAGAAATGAAGGCTCACAGAGGATCTCATCAATGTGAACAAATATCTGAAGGGAGGGTGTAAAGGTGGAACAAATATTTTCAGTGGTGCCCAGTGACAGGACCAGAGGTGATGGGCACACACTGAAACAGGAGGCTTCGACCAAACACCAGGAAACACTTTCTTACTGTGAGGATAACTGAGCACTGCTAGAAGTTGCTCACAGAGGTTGTGGCATCTCTGTTCTTGGAGATACTTGAAAGCCATCTGGACATCACCCTGGCTACCAACACTAGGTAGACCTCCTTGAGCAGGAAGGATGGAACAGATGATCTTTCCAACAAGAAGATCACTTTCAACATCAATCATTCTGCGGTTTGGTTGGTATGGAATGTGGCATTTCCATGTTTAATGAAAATTATTGTAATCAATATCCTGGTTTGCTTCAGCTTAGATGTTTTCTAAATATTTTCTGTGAGACATATGTCAATACCTGTTCCAGAACTGATGATAAAAAAATCTAAAAATTGTCATTAATTTTATAACATATGCAAAAAACCCAAGGTTATTTTCGCCCCAAACAGTTGCTTGTTGCCTGAGATTAAGGCACAAAGATGTGTCCAAGTCTGTTGTCACAAATCTCCCTGATAAATGTGTGACACCTTGCTGTCATCTTGAGAAAATAAATTAATGAAGCTGGATTCCCTCTCATAAAACAACCACATTCTTCAAGGCAGTATGAATCATGTCCCTACTATCCTCACAAAACAATCACTTATTCTATGTAAAATGTTTTACATCTCTCTGGATGACATTATCCTCCTCTGTAAGCATGCCACATAGATAAATCGACGCCATTTGACATGGAGTAAGTTTTATTCCAAACAGGAAGAGGTAACTGAACTTGGTCTTGATAACTATCAGTGACAGACAACTGGAACCTGTGGTCACAGCATCTTAACTGATTTTCCTTTCGTTTAGTTTATTTTTTCTTTTTAAAGGGGGGAAGACTGAAGCTGATTTTATGTTTTGTTACACGTCCTTTTAAAAATATCTGTATGTATTTCTTGAATTATGCATGAGTTCTGATTCTAAACATAATTCTAACCATGAGAATCCAAGATTTTTCTTACCAGGGCCCCGTGGAATCACAACTGAGGAGATATTGTGTATAACAATAGAAATATGTTAGGAAATAATGGAACAATTGAAACTCAGATCTGTATTGAAATTATTTATTCATTTTGGATTTTTCATTGATAATAATGTTATTAAAGAGTAACATTCTTTTTTATTATTTTTTTTATTTGGAAGACTGCATGGATGATTTTCTAATATTTAGTATAGGCAGTGTGTGTACGAATTTGATGTGGATGTTGATTCTCACATTATAATATATTTTTCAATACAATTTCAGTAATGAAAATCAAAATATGAGAATGAATGTAACAAATATTTGAGAGTTTGGGCTGGCAAAATTTCTGTACTGCACAGCATAAAACAGTCTGGAAACATCAAATTCTGTACTGTATCAGCTAGTGGACTTAGATTAAACACCTCACTACACATAATGTGTGCAATATGGCAAGCTCATTTGGTAAGGTAGGTTTTGCTAATGTTTTAGCAAATTTATCTTCAAAACAGCTTCTTTCTTAAATTTCTAAGCTTGTATTAATCTCCATTGGAAGCCAATGTTATTTAGTCTTCTTTTAGGCATTTTAAGACTATGATATTAAAGACTAGATGTTTTTTGTCTGTGATATAAAACTGCTTTAGCGTGTAAGCTCCATGGAGCAGGGATGTTTTAGTCACAGAGGCTTGGAAAGAGGCTGGTCTCTTTCAGATGTTATTGGCATTTAAATAACTATTAACTGATATTCAATGATTTTAGAACTGTTTAATTATAATTATAAATTAATTATAAAAATAATTGTTTCTATAAGGGAATATCCAAAGTATCTTCAGAAATACAAACCAACGTACATGGTCTGCATGGGTTTTGCTTAATGGTAAACTACAGTCCCTTGAAAATCAGATAAACAGCTGATTTTAAAAATTCAAACTATTTATTCTAACCATATTCTAAGTGCTCATGACTTCCTAACAATTCAAATACATTTTTCTTGTAAGTACTTCTGAATTCAAAATACATTTCCGATTTCATACCCTATAAAAAATGGAGCTCTTCTAAATTGTATTCAGATAGATACATAGCAAACAAATTAATTCAAAATAGGTCTTTTATACTCACATGACTAGAGAACAATTTCAAAATAAACACAATTTTTCTCCTCCTGTTTCATTTGGTGAACATATTTGTTTCTTAATTTTTCAGTATCATTTAGTAAATAAGTTCCTACGACCTACAACCTTTTTATTTCAATATAATTACATCATATTAAAAAGCGTAATTGGATACTAAGCTATTTCTGTGGTGTGATAGATACTGAAAAGAGAGTGACACCACAGAAGCTTTTCATTTATCATATTTTCTTTTGGTTGTTGTTGAATGCTGGCTTTTTCTGAGGATGTATAAATTTCATGTGGTAATGCCTTAAGGCTCCAAAACTGTTCTATAGATTTATGTTAAAGCGTTGTTTGTTATTTCACATTGATATCCATTAGCAATCATAGAAGCATTTCAATTCTGTTAAAGGTTCTAATATCTCATTTTTAAAACATAGCTTGGCTTGTGTGGACATATTAGAAATGTGTTCATCTTCACAAGCAAGGGATATGAGTTATGAATATATCTCTGCAATGAAAGCGAGTGCACAGGATTTTTTTATGCTGAAGTAGAAATTAATATAGCAACAAGTGAATGTATTTTGGATATATCTTTTCTCTGCAGAAATGTTTACATATTTCTAGAAAAACAGTGCTGAGGATAAACAATGATGAAATAATGCACTGGTCTAATAACAAAGAGACACATCCTGTTCACATATTCACAAGACTTGTAGCATCAGTACATATTTTGCCTTTAGTAATATGCAACAGTTGTAGCTGTCTCTAGGGAAAGCATGTGACCCAATCACATCACTGACAGCAGATAACAGGATACAACAAAGAAAAGTGGTGTGTCATAATGTGTAAGCACATAGAATCACTCACAGTACTCCCATGAAGTCAGTAGCAGAAATATTTACAGATTTTAAAAGAACCAGTGGTGTATTATCCTAGAGAACTTAGAAAAGCTTACACATAATGACCATGTTGTAAATAAGTCCCTTCTTTCCTTTTAAACAAAATTAACATGTTGCCATGGTACCCAAGAGGAATCCCATGATTCTCCTTCAGGCAAACTTCTATTATTCTGAGGAAAAGATGAGCAAAGACCATAGCAAGTGACCCTGTGGTTTGCTGAACGAATCATCTGTCTATGTAAATCGGCATAACATTGTTGTTACAATACGTCATGTTGCTTTTTCCAATTAAAAAATCGAAGTCCTACACTTGCAAGCAGAATATATATACCATGAAAATACTAATAAAATTCCCTCTCTCTGAAAAGTATCTGATCTTCAGATAGCTCTCATTTTACAGATAATCATGCTTATTTCAGGAAAGACTTCTCTTATAACAAATGTAGTACTTTGACAATTGATAAAAAAGAAATAGATATATGAGTCCAAATAAGTGAAATTCAGTCAAGACTTCCCCTTTCACTGTCTTATTTCTTATTTTACTATGGTGTATTCATTCATATACCCTGATACCATTTTTTGCAATGAAAGAAATCTTAATATCATATTTTGAAACCACTATATAAATTAGTATTGATATGAATACTCACATTGTAAAAGATTTGGAGTATAAATGACACTATGCATTCGTTGAATTTTAATACTCCTACAGCTCTTAGAGACATGTCTATTTGTAGGTCACTTCTTTCCTTTTGTCCCAGAAGAAAACAAAAATTATATAAAGAGCTTTCATAGCATTCGTATGAAATCTTTATGCTTGTCCTTCCAGGTCCTGAAGGGATTTCCAGAATGCTTACAAGCTGACATTTGCCTGCACCTCAACCAAAATTTGCTTCAGAATTGCAAAGCTTTCCGGGGGGCCAGTAAAGGCTGTCTTCGAGCTTTGGCTATGAAATTTAAGACAACACATGCACCTCCTGGAGACACTTTAGTGCACTGTGGAGATGTTCTCACTGCTCTTTATTTTGTGTCAAGAGGCTCCATTGAAATCCTTAAGAGCGACATTGTTGTAGCCATTCTTGGTAAGTACGTTATTACAAGACATTAAAAGAGTCAGATTTTCAAAACAAATATTTCTTGTTTCTGGGGCAGGAAATTTGTAAATATTTACTATTTTTTTAAATCAAGTAAAGAAATAATTTAAGAAGTCTACATTACTGCAATAATTCATGTGCACCAAAGAGCCCATGTCTTTGGATTTCTAAAGATTTATCTTTAGTCAGGTTAATCCCTAGGTAAAAGGTAAGCTGCAAGTTGAGGCAAGCAGATATCTAATTACTCCAATTCTGATTATGCTGCAATATCAAAAGTCAAGGCCACCCGGTTTTTGAAGAGTGATGAAGTTATTGAGACATGTAGACTCCTCTATTTGCAACTGGACCTATCTACTCTGGGCATTCAAAATGTCTTCTAGAGATTTTCAGAAATATCTATTTCTGCCCACTAGGCATAAAGGAAAATAAGACAATAATAGATTCATTTGATCTAGAAGTAATGACACCAGTGTTTCCCCTGCATTTCTTATTAACACATTCTTGTTTGTATAGCATGATTAGTTTCTTGTTTTCTTTCTTAAGAAAGTTGGCTCAAGACAATGCTCAGTGCAGCTGGGAGCTCACCTGCAGCTGATGATAGCTCTTATGTGAAACCAGTAAGACTTCATTAGCTATAGCAATATGAAAAGTAAAATAACTAAAAGCTTATATAAAATGACTACATATTTGTTTCTTCAATTTTATATTAGATAATAAGAATGCAAAGAATAATTGAGTAGATGAGTAAGGATTTTGCTGTACAGAACCATATACCAGCTGTAATATCATTCATATGTTGTCTTTCTGTTAATTGGCCACTGTAGGAACTTACAGTCAGAAAAGTAGATGAAGCAAGATGTAGACTGGGGGCAGTATGCTGCTATTAACCCACTTTTGACTGATTATTCTGTTTATACTTTGCAGGGTGAATATGTGAGCAGAACAAAGGTGTGCCTAAAGCAATCCTTCCCTAGGTTTAGATAGTGTTACCAAGATAATTTATCATCTTATGCTGTTGCAGCTCATCAGCTGGGCCAGCTTTAGGCACAAGCAAGATAGGGAGCATGCAAGTATAACACTGTCAGATTTTTACTTAATTGAGTAAGAGTCTTGCCCTGATTATGAGCAGTGTGCTCCATCAAGGAATTAATCTCTCACATCAAAAATGTACATTTTTGTACTATTTCTATTGCATTGCAGTCAAGACAAACTGACAATTTTATGGATTCATCAACTTCTTCCTGGGCCAAAGATTCAGTCTGGACAGGTTTTTTATGTTCTGCATATCAGATCTCTGTGCTCTCACACTGTAGCAGAAACCCAGGTATTTGCAGGGCCATGCCACTTTATCTCTTCCCACCTATAGCTGTCCACACCAGGGACTGCACTTGGAGCCTCACTCTCCCAGGGAATGTTAGGTCAGGCAGGTGTGCTGCATCCATATGAAGCTGAGCCCACATCTGTTGCATGATCCATGAGGTAGGAATCTGCCTATAGCTGGCTCCAGTGATTGAGTCAGTGGTATTTCGAAGAATCTACAGAAAAAGAATAGATCATATAAATAAGGAAAATTACTCTGCATTGCAATCACTCAGAAACCTAACAAAGTTTATCAATAATTAGCCAAATTTTTTTAGCTAATTCCTCTTTCTAAAAAACCTACACACAGAAATGGACATAAAAACCACTCATTCCTTTTTGCTCTGGACAACAGAGTAGTCCAACAGAGGTAGCATGGATAAAATTTTCACCTTTAACAAGTATTGCAGCATCATCAAAGAAATAAATGTGTTCTGAGAAATGTTGGGTTTCTCCCCAGTTTTCCTCAAATCATCAGCATTGTCTGATGTGAATGAGTTAAGTTTCTTTAGTACTGATCTGACAACAGTAATTCTGCATAAAATACCTAGAAAACACAATATCTGAAATCTACTCTCTTTCAGCTTTGCAGACAAGATGTAAAAATACTATAAAATAACCATGTCAATGCTCTCATTGCAGAGAAGGTTTCATATGCCTTGAATAGGGACCTCTGAATTCATAAACATTTGGTGCAGAAGGACCTTGTTTTGTTGCTGATTCCTTTTATATTTCATATTTTTTACTATCTGTTATATCTAATGAACTGAGTTTTATGAAATAAAATCAATAGGTTTTGCTCTGAAGATATGAAGAGATGAAAAGGATGACTTTTGCTGGAAGTTTATTTCTATAGTTAATCACCTTTATTGTTAAAAATGTGTGCTTTATTTCCAGTATAAAATTATCTTTCTCCAATTTCTTTCCATTGGTTCTTCCTATGCTTTCCTTCTCATATTCTAGAGACATTGAATACCAAGTAATTTTTCCTCGTTAAAGAATATATGCAATATAATCAAGTTGCCTCTTAATCTTCCCATGTTCAAGATCCTTCCAGCCCTTAAATTACCTTTTGCATTTTTAGCTCAGTTTTCAACTTCCTTTTTAGAAAATAGAAAAACTAGAACTACTCTAATTAACCTAATGTGAAAAGTACAAATGTTTAACAGAGAAAAAATATCACCACTGTATTCTTTTTTGCCAGTCTCTGTCCCTTGCTATGATAACTCCTATTTTCCACAAGTGTTTTCTTAGTTACTCCCCAACCCCACTTTGCAGGTAACCCTAAAACCCTTAGTCTAGAGCATACTTTCACTAGTTTATGGCTGCAGTTGTTCTGCATTGATGAAGTTTAGGTGCAGTTTGGCAAAAATGAGCAATTAAATAGAGATGACAATCTTAATAAACACCAATAGCAAATGTGTCATCATTGTCAACAAGAATTGTAATGGTATCAAAACAGAGGCAGATGTGTTTAAAGAGCTTGTTCAAAAAAACTCCTGCATCTTAGAAACTTTGCATTGCCTACAAAAAATACAAAAATGAAGTAATTTTCTACTAAAAAGATATTTAAAATACAATCAGCTCCTTCATGTAGTCCTTAAAAAAATTATATTAAAGGCCAGAAAAGTCCTGGACTGGACTAGACAATAGAAATTGTATCTTTGCCATCATAATACGGTTGAAATTACAAAATAATGCTTTTAGAAGAAAGGCCAGAGGAACCTGGTCAAGTCATGTTGTTTTGATAAAACTGAAGAAAAATTGTGATGAAACTTCCACTTAGTCCAGTAATATGCCAATGTATTTTCATTGATCTTAATAATTTCGCTTTTAATACTTAATAATACTGCTTTTTCTTTATATATATGCAATGAGAATCTGACTGTATCACTTCATGTAAAACCAAGTATTCTGTGCCTCTATCATAAAGAAATGCACCATTAAATTTAATGGCTTATCCATGTTTAAAATAATAATCCCTGTTCAATTTTTTTTCTGCAGGGAAAAATGATATTTTTGGAGAGATGGTACATCTTTATGCAAAACCAGGAAAGTCAAATGCAGATGTGAGAGCTTTAACTTACTGTGACTTACATAAAATTCAGAGAGAAGATCTACTAGAAGTTTTGGATATGTACCCTGAATTTTCTGATCTCTTCCTCACCAATCTGGAACTAACTTTTAATCTGAGAGATGAAACTGCAAAGGTACATATAATAAGTGGTTTTTCTTTCTTAATATTGGGCCAAATCTGTCCCACAGTAACAAAGCTTGAAAATAGCATTTGAAAAACTAAGGTTAACAAAATGAAAACCTAAAATCCTATATTAAAAAAAATATGCTCACCTGATTGCTTCTACTGAAGTCAGTTAAACTCAGCAGAAGTCAATGAAATTATTCAGATGATGTTAATCTAATAGGATTTGGTTCTATATTTAGATAGTATTAAGGCTTCACCCAGAGGGATTTTGCTAAAGCCATGGAAAATATGGTTTTATTAGATGACTACAGCCTAGGTCACCACAAGGGGAACTTTTGACACTAAATGTAATTTTACATCCATAAAATAAGGATAAATCAGATTATCCAGATTCCTTCTGTGTCTAGCAATAGAAAATATTTAATTGCCTTTCAAATAGGAATTGTTAATTCCCTTATCTTGGCATGCATTTTACCTCCTAGGGGACTAAAAATTTACAAGGGGCTTTTCAACTTTCACTCAGTCTTCAGATTTGCAGGCATTTCTTGGTCTCTTTTCCCACAGTGACTGTTCTAAGTGTCCTTTTTTGCACAAATTATGTCTTTAGGAAAGTCAAAGTATTACCAGTGTTTCCTTATTTCAGACTGACAGGGTTAGTCTGACTTGGGGAAAAAAGTGGATGTTTGGCCAAAGGGGGAGGGGGGAAATTCTCTTGCCCAGCTTGTGCTGCTGAGGATAAAGACTTCCCCAGAAGATTGCAGTACCCCAGCCCTGGCCACCAGGCAGGGACTGCACTGCCCACAGAAAGAAGGGTTTGCATTTCATTATTTCTAAGATAATGCTGCTTTGTGGCTTCCTTAAAGAAAAACAGAGGTTCAGTGAAAAGGAAATAACATAATTTGGCCTCAAAGACCTTCTAAGAAAAAAGGAGAAAATGAACACTAAGTTTTGGGCTGTAAATCATAGGGAAATCTTTGCTAATCAGGTGTGGATCTTTATTTTTAAAAAAAGTATAACAAATACGACTTCTAACAAGAAATGTCACTTCTTTTTATTATTACCTTTTTTTAACAAAATATCATTCTGAAAATAAAAGACCAATTATATTCTTTTTTTTCAATCATGCCTTTGTACGTATTGAAAAGGTCATAATTATTAATTACATGTAAAATACAATACAATGAGCGTATAGTCTAGTGATAAATTTAAGTTAAAACTGAATGTCCATATATTTGAAAAATTTCTTGAGGATAATTTCACATTAATGATTTAAGTCTGAGCAATTATTTCTTGCAATTACATTGTCATCAATGTTTTATCATTATTTTTTCCTTAGTTCAGAGACAAAGAAGGCAGGAGAGGCTCAGCCATGCTTCTGAGCTTGCAAAATCACAGTTTTTCTCTAGCAATTCCACGTACTTTCTACTGTCTATTGCAATCCAGAAAATCATCCCCCAGAAGAAGAATTGAGCACATTCTCATTTTCAAAACATCACTCAGATCTAAATATTTTTTCAGGATAATACGTCCTTCTGCCTCAACTTCTGCTCCTACCCTCCTATTGGTATAAAAATATATTTTTCTTCCTGCAGTTATTCTACCAGTGGGCTACCACTGAAGCACATTAATTGCCAGGTTTACAATGGAGGGAATAGAGAAAAATATAAACATCTTCCAGCTCCTCTCTGCCCTTCTCCCACATGCAAATCTGCTTACTTGAGTAGTATAGGAAACCTCACTAGCACAGGGAAGGGAAGTAGGCTGAAGCCAATGCCATGAGTATGTACACAAAGAGCAAAACCGGTGTTATATTTGCTAATTTGTAAATTTCTTAAAGTAGAAAAAATCAGAGTTAAAAGCATATTTTACCTACTGGGGAAAAAAGCATTGCAATCTTCTTAAGATAGATAGAAAAAAACAACATTGTGTTCTAGTACAGAAATAAGTATCTGAATTATCTAAATCTGATAAAGAGGAAGGGAGGGTCTAGAAAGATAAAATAATAGGTAAAGTGCCAGATGCTTGTCAGGCTTATATTTATTGTAAAATATAACCTTTATAATTATTACCATCAGTTAAATATAAATATAATTGCAATCAATTACCACTTCTTGAAATAGTATACATTCTGTTAGAGGTTATTTAATTATTTTCATTAATTTCTCTAAGGTTACATAAACCATATCTGTGCAAGTTCAGAGAAGCTGATAACATATGAACACATGTATTTCCATGTAAACTTATTATGAGGATAATTTTATTTCACCATTAGGTGATGACAGTGTTGGTTTTGCTCAATTTGCATAACTTTTTTAATGTTAGCCTTGGGCAATTCCATTCATTAGGTGGTGATGGAGAGGCTGATGTAGACTGACTTTAATATTGCCTTTTTTAAAGCTTGAACATGATTAACAGTCAATCACCTATTGCAAATCTGCCTTCTTTGGATGGAACTAATCTGTCATTTTGTTTCATATTTCATTAATCAAGTCTGACCTCGTAATAAGATCACAAACTACCAATGATACGGATGGAGATAACTGCAAACTACGAAGACGGAAATTGTCCTTCCAAAGTGAAATAGAGAAAGGTAATTAACTTCATTCCTTACATTGGACAGCAGTGCCTCATTATTCATTGGTATTTCATTTGGCCATGCTGGGTACATTAGGGCCCCATGTCTGCTGTTAGTGGAGCAGCCCCTGAGAATCCAGCTGGGCAGCAAAACCACTCTGTGCATTAACCCCTATACATTTCTGTGTAACTGGAAAATATATGTTTCACCCTTCCATGACTCCACATCTATCTGTGAACAGCTGTTCTGACATTAAGCTGCCTTATTGCTTTTGAGACATGCATATATATATGTATATTATCTCTTAATATCTATTTTCTGAGACACTATGTTTTAAATTGTGTGGACAGTTTAGTCTGTGGATTATTTTATGTCCTCAGCAAAGTGCTGTGTTGAACTTGATGCTAGGTAGTGTTTCTCCCTAGAATTTAAATATTTTAAAAATTTAAATATTTCAGGACACTGTAGATTCACCATAGTCTGATTTTGATCCATATGGTATTGTGTAAAACGTTGTTCTAGCAAAACTTTAGGTAATATTTTTATGTGCTTTCGATCACATTAGTGTCTTTTAGGAGTAAACTTAATGAAGGAAAATTCAGTGAAACATTAAACTTTTTCACCAGTATTCAGTACTGCTAAATACCAGGGATTGTAGACAGTAGCTCTGGTCAGACAGTAACAGTCATGAAGACAGACAAGCTAATACTCATAGGATTTTCATGTTTATGTAGGAAAAACACAATTCCTTGAATACCATTACACTTTTATAGTTGAATGGTTTGTCTGACAAATTGCTGCTTCTGTTTTGCCTGTCTTTCACACTCCACAGTTAAACCTTAGTCCTAAATACAGCATAATACCAATTCATAGAGTAGCAGAGTAGCTGATAATAAATGGGAACAGTTTAAATATCCACAGCAGGTATAATGCTCGATGAAGAGACTTTCATCCAGAGTGTGGCTATTCAGAACAATGACATTCCTCTTCGATCAAAGAAGCATCTTTAGGGCAGGAAGCCAAGACTGACAACAAATCTGTCAGGAAAATGTCCCCATGAAATATTCAATCTGCTCTTCACAAAGAATCTGTTGACAGAGATACTTTGCCTGACTAACCTTCACATTTCTTATGAGAAAACATATGCTGCTACCTAGACAAGATGGAAGTGATCTTTTATGTTGTGCCTGATGTAGAATTACAAATAGGGTACTCAGGTGTCAGTGAGGTTCCAAGACCCCTAGGCTTTTATGGTTCTTGCCCAGTCAATTACACTGAACATCCTCTTGAAACATTTATTTGCATTACTTTTGAAAGAATATAATTTCCCCAGTTTTGTCTCTGAAAAAAATACTTGCACCATTGGGGAAGAAGAGGCAAGACTGGCAAGCTCCTTAGTCCTGGCAATGATTGTACAGCACCTGGTAATATCTGGGTTAGTCAGAAGTCAGCTGCGTTGGAAGTCCATCTGAGGAGAAGATAAAACAAGCAGGAATCCTTTGCCAAGTACTGAGTACACTTGTGGCCCAGTAGCTTACTGCCCCTCTCTGGTCTCTTTTCAGATTCTCTCCATGTTCCCATGGCCACAGCAGACACCTCATAGTCATAGATCTTCAGTGTTACTTTTCTGTGGCACTTCCCACATCCTCTGAGATTATAGAGTACTAAAGTAAAATAAAGTAAAGTTTGTAGAGTAACATTCTATTGATTTCAACTCTTTATATGTAGGAGGGAGTGGCATCTTATTTTGATCCAGCATAGTCAATCTATAATAATAAATATTTGGGGATGATCCTGCAGAGTTTTTCAGAAAAGACAGAGTTTCTGAACAAACAGCTGGAAAATACAATTCTGGCCACAGTATGCCAAAAGATAAAAAATATGCATTGTATGAAAATCATATTTTTATTTCAGAACTACAGTTTGAACATGATAGAGACTCCCAGAATATTTTGATATTTTATTTTGCAATTATTAGAGGCATGCTTATTAAGTGCTCCTCTTGGTGGCATTCTTTGCCTTCATCTGTTGACCTACTAGCATATTATGCAGCTTGAAATTGTATTTTTTTCCATCTTTAGTGTGATCATCATGTTTTCTCTGTTCTGGAGTGCTAAAAATGGGATTGTGTTATCTCAGCCGTTAGTTTGTGCTAGCCTGATTTGGACCTTGTTGCCATGGAAACTCTTCCTTTACGAGTTTTATCAGGGGTTAAACAAAATCAACACAGCTCTCTTTTATGCATCTGCAGTTAGTACCCCTTGTTCTCCAATTCCACACAAGACCTTCTCACTCCACATATTCCACTATTTCTATCCTTTGTCAATAAAAACTGATCTTAACTAGTAAGGCTAATAAAGGCTCTGTCATCATGTGATTTTAGAGGCTACAAGAGTATTTGAGGGACCAGCTTGTTCTCTGGCTTCTAGAATTGGTTGCAGTGTTAGAAGAGGTTCCCTGCAAAAATTAATGTACATGCTACGTAGCAGCTTACACTTGCTCCCACCCTAAAGAAATTCACTGCATGTCTTTCAGAATAATGGGTGGTACTTCTTGCACAGGTGCAGGTGAAGACTTAGCCAGTTGCCATAGATCCTTGACAGTCAGCCAAGAAACTCTCTGAGACTGCTTAAAATTAGCAGCATTCCTGCCTGGCAGTTCCAAACAAAGCTCTCAGCTGGGTTGGCAAGTTAGCCTCCTGCTGAAAACTTTGCAACAATGAGCTGTTCCATCTATACTCAATTGTCATTTTTAGCAGTGCAAAATACAATTCTTTCTTGCCCATTTCTCATTTACTTCTAGCAGTTCTGTGTGAGACAGCTACTTTCAAGGGAAATACATTCAGGCAAGAACTTTCTTTTGCTCTGCTAGTTCTGAGTGCAGTTTTATTATCCCATGCTAAATAGGGCATTTCTAGAGTTGTTTACATCAATATAAAATCCAGTATATGAGTGAAAAATATATAGTGTAAGGAGACTCACATAAAACCTGAAAACTTGGGGCTTTGGAAAGACTGTTCTGAAGTTCAAGCATTATCACTTAGGCTAACAACTTTTTAAACTTTTTCTTAATGTTGGCTCTAAAATCTTAACCTTCTTGGGACTAATGACAGCTGACTCAAGAAATTTATAACAAGAAAATTTTAATTGCATGGATGTGATTTTAAGTGGTCACTAAGCAAAGTTCTCATGATTCTTGTTACCCTGGGCTTACACTTGCCCACATTGACACAGACTGTAACAATCAAGTGGGATATAAAATACATTTTGCTTCATTCTTAAAATATTATTAACTAGTAAACTCATATATTGCTTAATTTTCATTTGAAGAGTTATGTTTCCTGATCAGACTTTTCAAAAAGTGTCTACTGACCTAATTCTCAAAGTAAGCACAAAATCCAGAATTCTAATAAACTTCTAACTGAATCTTGATTAATGCAACTACATTAAGTGTGCATTGATTTTAGGTGTTTTCAAGCTAAGAAGCCAAGCCATATTAACACAGCTTTATTGCACAATGTGTCTAGAGGCCATGGCTCTTGACTTAGATATAGAAGACATGGAAATGTTTCAGGAACTGATTCTCCTGCCTGAAGCTTTGAAGTGGAGGACTAAGAGAATGGGGAAACATCCCCTACCCTGTTCTTTCCAATTCTTGTCCTGTATCCCAGCTTACTTATCTAAATGCTTACTTTATTAATAGATGCTCAGCCAAGCACTGTACCATGTCCCCAGAAGGAAAGTCAGGTAAGAATGTGGAGAAAAACTGAAGCGCTTACTTAACTGTGTTAAACTGTTAGTAATTTGCTGATGAAGTTGGCTCGGGCTTAATTAGAAAAGAGTTTCTAATATTCCACTGGAGTGTTAGGTCATTAAACAGCTAGGGAACAATGTGTTGGCAGGCAGCATATGGCTAGAAACAAGACCTCATGTCCCCAGAATCTTACCTTAATCGTGAAACTCCTAGCAAAAAAAGTACCTGGTCATCAGAGAGATCACCAGTGTAGTGTTCCATCTGCTCCTATTAGTGTTACTGCTGTTACCACAGTGCCTAGCAGCCACCTCAGGGAGCTTCCACAGAAGAGTCTTGTTTCCAGGAGTTACTCCCAATGAGGCTGTTTCCAAAGGCCAAATCTGATCAAAATGTTGTATGCAGTCACACATATCCATAGCTATCCTTTGAAAAAAAAAAACTAGTAATAATAGTACTATGGTGAAAGCTGAATTCCTTGTAAAAGAGAAGAGAATTCTAAATTTGATAAGAGAACTGTTTTGATCTATGCCCTGAATCCATTCTGAGGTGAATTGCTATGATTCTTCGTTTCTGATTGTTTTTATGTATAGCATTATATCCTGAAATATAAACTAATAATTTTCTTTCCATCATTATCTGTTTAGCATTAAAGTTGACACAAAATCAGACAAAACAAAGAAAATGGAGATGGAGGGTTGTCACGCCATCCCTAACATGTCATTGTATTGAAAATGGCACAAAAGAATAAATGAAGGACTTCATATTTCCTTGACCTTTTAAATTCTTGGCTTTTTATACGTCTCAAATTCAGTTATTCAAAAACTAGCCCTTTTCATAAGCCCTTTTAAAAAGGGGGACATGGATCCTCATGGAAAAGTCCATAAGGACCTTCAGTCCATCATGATGGGGGGAGATTTCAGTATCTTCTGCTGTTACCTGTTTCCAAAATCACCCAAGCTTTCATAGCCCAAAGATGAAAAACAGCAAAGGACACATTAACTTACCAAACTCTCACAAGAAGCACTGATACAGAACAGTAATTCAAACTCTACAGTGCAGTTCATTTCCTTCACCATCACTATTGAAACTACTGGAACCTTTCAGTCAAGTTGCCAGAAATTCTGTAAAAATGGAATCTCACTAGTTTACATCTAGCTTTATCTATTCTATCTACCCATAGTAGACTTAGGATCTCCAAAATTATGAATGAAATTGGAATTAAACAAATCTTCCATCACTAAAAACAATCACAGAAAAAAACT